ATTTGAATTTTTTGAAAATTTGTTTGCCCCATTCGAAAGAGCAGGAAGAAACCTTTCGAAAACATATAGGATTAATTTTTCTTTTTCTTTCTGTTTAAAAGTTACAAGTCTTCAAATATTAACTGTTTAAATTTTCCAAAAATTCAACCCTTTCCCTCTTCGAGAGTTTTCGAAAAAACCTAACAATACCCTGGCGGATTCGATTTGCGTAATGTCTACTTAACTAAGTGGACTTTAGGTAGACATTAGGTAAACATGTAAAAAACGTATAGAAAAGCTATTAATCGACTTATTATGATAAAAAAAAGTTGATAAAAGGGTAAATGAATGTTTATAGAGTAAATTCGTACAAAATTTGTAATTAATAAAGCATTAAATAATTAATAATGAATAGAAATGTGCGCGAGGTACCTGATCAGTTCAGCTGTACAATTATTTTCGTGCTATTTTCATGAAAAGAATATAAATTAACGGCAAAAACAATTGATATTTATAAAAAAGTGTAAAATTGATTTAATTTGAGTGTTTGCAATACGAATTATTAAATAATAATTAAGTTTTTATCAAATGTGAATAGTGTTGTGAAAACCTGTGAAAACTAATGAGTTACTACATTACCGATCGCATATGATAATAAAAAGTTCTCGATGAGTGTAACAAAAAAGCTGCAATCATGTCCGTAATTTTGGACGAGAAACAATTATGAAATCAATAATTATTTGTATAACTTTATTCTGCATTTTAAGATTCACTTTTTATTTTCTTTCACAGCAAAGCTTGGAAGAAAACATGCTCGCACTGTATTGTTGTGGGGGTTGGCCAATGGATGTCTCTGCCATTGGTCAATACCCATGTGCTCTCTCACAAGTGTAGATGTTGCTTGGCGTGTAGCATATATACACGATCCAACTCTCACTTCCCCATGGTCGTATAAGGCAGGTTTCCCACTACGCAGCCTTACTGATGAGTCCAGTAGTGGGGACCGGGACGAAACGACTAGTGTCTTCCAAGCTACGCTTATGGGTAACAACACAGTTGTTCCCATATTGTAAAAACTGGTGGCGCCATCCCTGGCAATCTTGGAAATTATGTACTTGGTTAAATTGCAGCTTTTTTGTTACACTCATCGAGAACTTTTTATTATCATATGCGATCGGTAATGTAGTAACTCATTAGTTTTCACAGGTTTTCACAACACTATTCACATTTGATAAAAACTTAATTATTATTTAATAATTCGTATTGCAAACACTCAAATTAAATCAATTTTACACTTTTTTATAAATATCAATTGTTTTTGCCGTTAATTTATATTCTTTTCATGAAAATAGCACGAAAATAATTGTACAGCTGAACTGATCAGGTACCTCGCGCACATTTCCATTCATTATTAATTATTTAATGCTTTATTAATTACAAATTTTGTACGAATTTACTCTATAAACATTCATTTACCCTTTTATCAACTTTTTTTTTATCATAATAAGTCGATCAATAGCTTTTTTATACGTTTTTTTACATGTTTACCTAATTTGTACCTAAAGTCCACTTAGTTAAGTAGACATTACGCAAATCGAATCCGCCAGGGTACTTTGTGGTTAAATTACTCACCCCTAGGGTTAAACTGTATGCCAGTTACAGCCCGATCTGATCAACTTTTTTCACTTAGTTCGCTACAGGAATTTTACCCTAATTATAAATTATAAATTTATAAATTATTATAATTATATATTTGTAAATTATATAATTATAATTATAAATTATAATTATAAATTATATATTTATAAATTATATATATATATATATACTAGCCCCTATTGAAATTCACCACATGGGAATCTACATGTGGTATCCAATGACAAAAACCATGTAAAAGCCCACATTCATAAAGGAAACCATGTGGATTCCCGTGTAAAACCATATGGGAAATTGAGACACAATTTAAAATGTTAGTCTATGTATAACACCATATAAATTCCTACGTGGGATCCTATATAGGTTCCTTCTACAAAAACCTTTATGAAATCCCAGGTCAACATAGGAATCAACATGGGAAATGAAACACGATTTCACGTGCATTCTTACATATGATTTCACATGGGTTTGAACATAAGAAATCACGTGGGATTTCATGTAGATTCTGAAATATCAATCTAAGATTTCACATAGATTTATATATAGGGAACAATATTGTATTTCATATGGGAATTTTCAATTGGCTTCTTTATGCAGGCGATATTTTACAAAAATTACAGTTGAGATCAGTCTTGAATACTATATGAGCTGAGACTCTAACTCCTATGTTCAAATCCATGTGAAATCATATGTAAGAATGCCCGTGAAATCGTGTTTCATTTCCCATGTGGATTCCTATGTTGACATGAGATTTCATAAAAGTTTTTGTAGAAGGAACCTATTTAGGATCCCATGTACCCACATAGCATGGCTTTTTGCTGTGAGGTTACTGTAAAGATGTCTGTAGGGTTTGTTAGGTTACCGTGAAAGCCTGCAGTAAACTTGCGGTCATCTTAAAACTTCCGCCTTACAGTAAGCTTACACAGTAAAGTTGTTGTAACTGTAAGGTTACTGTAAACATAAAGTAACATAAAAATATATTAAGAATAATTATATTATAATATATATTTTTTTTATAGAAAATTATATTAGTAAACTACTTTATGAACCCCAATAAGGTTTGTTAAATAAAATTACAACAACCTTACCGTGTAATCTTACCACAACCTTACCATGTCAACTTACCACGACCTTACTGTGTATGCTTACTGTAAGGCTGTAGTTTTAAGGTGAGATTACGGTGATTTTGAGGTTTTTTCAAAGATTTTTTTTATAATAAAAGAATATTTATTAGTTACAATTTTTTCATGATAAAATATACAATTATTTTAGGAGTCGAAAACAATTTTTGATTTTTTTTTGTTTAAACAATCTAATAAAAAATTGGGTGCCGAAAGTGGTACAATTTGAAAGTTTGTGACACCAATTAAAATTTTTTTATTTTTTTTATTTTAATATTTTGTCTCGAATTTGAAAAAAATAGACTTAAAAATCATACCAAATTTTTTTCTTATTCCTTATGACTCCCATAACAAAAATTCATTTGAATTTTTTATTTTTGTCAATTTGGTTAATAATGTCAAGCTGTCCCCCTTTACCCCAAAAATTTGAAAACTCAGGGTAAATGGGGACAGCTTGTCATTATTAACCAAATTGACAAAAATCAAAAATTCAAATGAATTTCTTTTATAGGACTCATAAGGAATAAGAGAAAAATTTGGTATGATTTTTAAGTCTGTTTTTTTTAAATAGGAGACAAAATACTGAAATAATTTGACTTTCATTTTCAAGTTTTTATGCATTGAGCGATAACTTGAATTATCTTGCTGACAATTGTCAAGATAAAAGCTTGGCAATACTCAAAACCTCTTGCAGGTGATTTGAGGTCAAAATATTGACGTTGAACTTAATTTTAAAACTGTAAATTAAGCTCCAAAACCTCTTGTCCCCATTTACCCCAACTGACCCTATACCTTAATCTTATTATTTTTTAAATAATATTCTGAGTAAGTTTTTTTGGCTAGTTTTTCTTGATTAGGCTTTTCCGTGGAATATTAAAAATGTACGAACAAAAATGCATTTTTCTTTTAAAATTATTCTAGTTTCAGGTGGTATGCATAAAAACAATAAAATAAAGAATTTGAATTCCCTTGCAACTTTTGTTTTTCCGGACTTTTGAGTCCTGGTGGGACGTACACGACCATAATTTCAAATCTGAAGCCCCTGTTTAAAATAAAACCAAAAAAAGTCTCTATGCACGAATTTAATTTGTAATATTATCAATTTAAAATATTTGTAAAGATTTTACCATAAAAACTATTAATCACGAAGTAGTATATCACCAGACATAGGTATCACCTATCACCAGCTCTAACGGAATGTAGCCTCGTTTTCGGTATTCATGGTTCTCATGTTTTCACCAATCTAATTACACTTGCGCCTCTAGAGGGAAACCTCGGTATTAAAATCACGTGTTTACAGAATACAGAGTTTAATACCACAATTTCCCGCGGTTGGCGTAAGTGTAATTAGATTGGTGAAAACTTGAGAACCGTGAATACCGAAAACGGGGCCATCTTTTATATACAGCGATATGTCTCCTTATACTAGTTCGTGCTATTAATACTTACTTTAGTTTAAAAAATTATTGCATCAAACTTGAACAATTCACTTAACCTCGAAATATGTTGACAATTATTTTATTTTTAAGGTTAAAACAATTGACTAACGATTTTACAATATACAGGAACGTTCTTCTTTACCTACTGACACCTACTATATGTATTAGATACCTACTTTTTTTTAGTAAAATTGTTAAAACATATTTTTAAGTCTATGGGACGCTGAAGTCCCACCCGTACCTAGAGGGTTAAAATCGTGTCTCAATTTCCCATATGGTTTTACATGGGAATCCACATGGTTTCCTTTATGAATGTGGACTTTTACATAGTTTTTGACATAGGATCCCATGTGGAATTTTCAGTAGGGAGGGTGGTCTTTATTTTCAAAATTTTCGAATTTTTATCATTCCCGGACAAAATTTTGTTCTAAATGTAAAAAAAGAGATACGTATTAATTTTGAAATGATAAGGCATAATACAGTTTTTTTACGATCAAAGTTTAGTATTAGACCTTATCATTTCAATGTTATTATAATTAAACAATTTAAAGAAAAAAGCAAATTTCAAAATTAAATTATTAATTTTTTTTATGACTGGAAACTTACAAAAATCTAACTAAGCATATAATATTAATAAGGGATTTGTTTTTGCTTATTTCCTTTGACTTCGATTTCTGAAAAGTTGGTGTATTTAACCTGCGGTTCCCACCCCCATCTACCCTACTTTCTCCCCACCTATGGAACTACTTACCACGTCCCTTGAAGGTGTTAATTTCACGATCCGTTAGTTACGAATCAGGTTCTGTTGCGAATGATAAAACGCTATTTAGACCTTTAAACTCGTAAATGTGATACATTTAAAAAATATTTTTTAATTTTAAAACAATTGTAATCATGAACGGATTTCCTCTTGAGGAGATCACTTTTTTCAAAAGTTATGCCGAAACTGATCGGGAAAAGGTCAGACGCCAGGAAGAACGGTGGGTGGCTTTTTTTAATTCTGAGAGCTGAAAATTGTTTGCTCTATAAAATTATTCTTTAATTATTAATTTTATGCTTAGTAATTAATTAATTAATTATTAACTTTATTGTCACATATTAATAAATATTTTTTACTTTAATTTCTTTCATATTCATAAAGTGAATTAATGATTACATATAATTTATTTCGGATTTGATTGGTTCACAACTTCTAAATCTATTTTACTATGATACTGTTTATATCAGGAATCAAATGATAAAAGATATGATCGAGGAAATTCGATTGGAAAAATTAAATAGTGAAATTCAAGTGGATTTAGAGGAACAGCAAAACGCAATTAGAAGGATTCAACTAGAAGAAACTTTACTTCTTATTGCACAAAATACAAAATCTTATGAGGATTATGTGTTGAAAGAGAAAGAACTGGAAAACGTAAGTTTTAAAAATAAATTTCCAAATATTGTGGAAAGATTTGCGGCAATTTCTGGTTGAAAATTATAATTGGAAATTCCTTTTAAAAAATTCTCCTAAATTCGGATTGAAATTCAAATAGATTTAACAAAACATAAATTCTGTTATTTTTATTATAATTTTTCTGTAATTTTTTTTTTAACATTGAAAGAAATGTTTGTTATTTCAAATATTGCAAAAATTTGTATTTTATGCTGTGATACTTTTTACATCAATTTTTTTTTAATTTATTGTAAAAACCCGTTCTTGAATATCATCACTGGAAAAAAATATCCTCAAAATATGGACAAAAATCACAATCGAATTTTTTGGTCAATACAAAATAATTATTTCATTTTGTGAAAAAATATCGGTATTTGGTGCATTTTTCAACAAGAATTTCTTATCAGAATTTTTCAGGAATCTTTCTACATGAGTTCGAAAGATTAATTATTATAAAACACAAAACGGAGGAAAAAATTCTAATTCTATTTTTTATATTATATGTTATTTATACCCGTGTGGAAAAGTGATGTGGGCCCCCAGTGGGGGCGATCCATGAGGGTGCCCCTACGGGCCCTCACGTTTGCCCTCATCTTGCCCTCAAGTTTGCCATAATGTTTTTTAATCAATAATATTAATAATAAAAGTTAATTAATAATAAATAAGCTTAAGTTGTGAATAAATAACATATTTATTTAATAATTATTCAATTTTAAATTAAATTCTTACTCAAATTGAATTTATTAATTAACGTTCTAATTAATTAACTGTCGGATATAATTAAAAGTAATAATAAATTAATTAATTAAAAAATTAAAAAATATGTAATTTATGCATACTATTAACGGATATTTTCATTTTTCAATTAATTCATACATAGAATTAATGATTAAACGCAAACCTGAGAAATAAATAAATCTAACGCATGGGGGGAGTCGAACCTACGACCTACGGACTATGAGTTTAACGCTTTACCAACTACGCTACGCACGCTACTTCAAAATGAATGCTAACTTCTTGATGCTATTTAAACTTAAAAAATACCTAACAAAGAAAAGTGCTTAACATCATTTAGTTAAAGTTAAGATATTAAATTATATTTTCCAATCAAATGCAATTTATAAAATATAATTAATTATATGCTTTATGATTATTATCATGAATCATCTCAGGTGAATTTTCAAAAAAAGTGTAAATATATTTTTATTAAAAACGCGTTTTTCGTTGTTCTGAATCATTGGAAACATTAATTTTTTGGTGATGAAAAAATATTTGAATTTTGGACTTAGAAAATTTTGCTAATCGATTATGAGGGCGATCCATGCGGGGCCCCTACGTTGCCCCTCATGGATTCGCCATATGGATCAGCCCTCATGGGCCCCCGCCGGGGGCCCCGAACTCTTGAGGGCAAGATCGTGGCTTTTTCCACACGGGTACTTAAAATTTATTAAATTTTACTCATCATTGAAGTGATAGTAAACAAAATAAAAAATCTTAATTAAACTAGACTATTTTAGTATTTTATTATGACTGGACAATATATAAAATAATTAAATTACTTTTCAAACAATTCAAGTGGCAGCAGTATATGATTTGTGATGGACTTCCTGATCCGGGAATTTTGTCTGAATTAAATACCTTTGTATATTTATGGTCTTTGGATGATGAAAATGCGAGGATGGAAACGATTTCCAAACATTGTGAAATAATTATTTATGTAAGTGACTTTGATTTCCATCATGTTGTGAACCCTTCTAAAAGTAAAAAAATTAAAAAGATAGAATTTGATAAAAATTGATGGATCTCTAAAAAAATAGGGACACATTCTCATCACACTTGAAAATTATATTTTACACTTTTTTCTAGCTTTTGTCAAAATTAGAAGATAAAATCAAATTTTCAACAGGGAAATCTACAATTTATGTGAATGACTGCAAAACAGTAAGTTTTTAAAAATCCATTCTTCTGATAAGGTAATTGTATCAATTATCGATAATTTAAACACACTAGACGTTAACTTAAATCTAATTTTTTTTCAAAAATTGCAAAATAAATTAAAAATTACAAGTTATTTCTTTGAAAATCTATCTAGGTATATATTTGAGTAAATATATATTTGGAAATATAAAGATTGTTTAGAAATTATTCTCGTTTTAAAATTTTTCAGAATATAGTATTTATATAAAAAATTATGGACCTTGACAATTGGGTATCCTCGGTAATTGGTGCATTTACTCTATTTAAAATTTATTTAAAAAAATAATAGAAAAGAATTGTAGGTAGTAATTTACAATTGTTGTATAAAAAGCGGTTTCATGGGGTTAGTACCACATCTCAGTGACTTTTCTTAAATAATTTTTTTTTTATTACAAAATTTATTTTATTTATTTCAAACTTTTTATACCTTAAAGAAAGGGGTTTTAAACTATTAAAAAAAATGTATTCCTTATTTATTATGGATTATCTTGCTGTCATGGCCGCCTGAAAATACCCTTACTTGTGATTGGCGGACACAATATCTCCAATTCAGGTCAACGAAAAATTAAATTTTTGAAATTTTCTTGAAAAGTAAGCTCGTCGCTATCGTCGGAACTTCAATGAACTATTTTCGATGAAAAAAACAAAATGTCGGACTTTTTTCATTTTCGACCAATTCAGGTCAACTTAAATTGTTTTAAAAAATGGTTAAATATTAATGAAAAATTATGATTCTAGGTCCGACGATAGCGGTATATGTGTAGAATAAGCCATAAAAATTTAATAATCGGTGCAATAGTTTTTCTTTTATGATGTCCGCCAGGTCAAAAAACGTTGTTTTGAGAAAAAGCGAATTTACGAAAATATGTTCTTTTCAAGAAAATACCCCCTTACACGACAGCCCAGCAAATACTGTTATAAAATAGTTATGAAGCAATTATATAACAGAAAATCACATGTCATATCACAAGTGATAAACATGTGATTGAAAATGTCGTAACATAAGGGTCAAAGTGATATTACTGTTACAACCACAATGATATAGCAGTTATGTAACTTTGTGCTGATTTTAAGATACTGTTGGATATTCTCGATTACTGAGAGATATGGATGAAGTTGCAGTGATCGGGATACACTTAGTCGAGACATATCTTCCTCATACAAAAAACTCTCATAATCAGATACCCAGCGGATTTTATCTAACTTCAATGAAGTCAAAGTAAGATTTTCCCATTCAAAAGATTTATTTATTGATTTAAAAATTTCCCTTATCTGCACACATCAGTTATATTTAGGTGGAACATTGTTGTTTTCTAACAGTCTCTTTAACTTTACAAAACACTTTTGAGGATAACGGTCACTGTCCATAGTAAGTATCTTTTCAATAAAATTTAGAGCTAACTTAAAACAAATTGCGATAAGTTTGCGGTTTCCCGTTTCCAGTCTTACTGCCTACCCAGGTGTGTTAAATGGTAATTGTAATAATCTTTTAAAATTGAATCTGAAATTTCTCAATCGAAGACCAGGAATCCAGCTTCACTTTTTTAATTAAGGAAATCGTTTTAAATTACGCAAGATTAGCCTTAGATATCATGGTATTAGTGGCATTTATAAAAACTGCCGAATTAGAAACGGGGACGCCTAAGTAAGTATAACTAGATACTATATTAATTTTTTTTTCACCAAATAAAAATGAAACAATATTTTTATCATGGGAATACCCAACTTTTTTTAAATATTACTATTTCAGTTTTATTTATAAGTATTAATTTCTAACTGATTCAATTTACAATGTTTGTAGAGAGCCTTCAAGATTCCTCTCATAGCTGACCTCGAATCTGCTAAAAGTGCAATGTCATCTGCAAATGTCAAGAGAATTACTTCCATTAATTGATCAATTGACACTCCTCTGATACCCTCAGCCTACAAAAATTCTTCAAAATCTGCAATAAAGAGACAAAATAGAATTGGGCTCATTACTTCCCCTTGTAACACTCCCCTTGTTACTCTAGTAGCTTCTGAAACTCCATTTGTCCCCTTAACTGCAACAGTAGCTTTCTCGTAAAGATTTTTTAAAACTTTAATTATTTTACTACCATCACCGAGTTTATATAATTTTTTCCAAAGTAAACCATGAGAGAGAATTTTCCCTCAAGAATCTGGAACTTTCCCTAAATCCCAAATTTTATTATACAAAAGAGTCAAACAATCCAGACTATTCTCAAGAAGGCTTTTTAAAAATTTTAAAGTGATGTCATCCGCTTTATTGTTTTTACATCTTTGAAGGCTCAAAACAACCTCATTTTTTGTTATTGGTGAATCCAAGAAAGGGTTATTCATTTTATCACGAAAGATTTTTTCCCAATTAGGTGAGATGCTTTCAAAAATTGGATCAAAAACCGAGTTAAAATAATCATGCCAAGTATTCAAATTTATAATGTTTACGTTGTTCCAACGGTATCTAAATGCGTTTATAATTTTCCAAAATGAAACTGAATCCTTCACAGATATTAATTGATTTACCATAGAGTTATTATAATCCTCTTTTTTCTTTAATAAAAGATTTTTGTATTGTTTATTTCTCTCAGCATAACAAATTACAGAATTCATATCTTCAATTTTATTTAATTTACAATTTTTTCAAAATAACACATTCTCGATCATACCAAGGTTTTAAGGTTCCACACTTATTATGTACAGTTTTTGTCATTCCCACATTTTTAGCACTTTCCATTACTTGATTTATCAGATCACTTTCCATTTTATCAACTGAAGCGTTATCGTTGTAAATAAATTGCAAGTTTGTATAAAATAGATATATTAATTTTTTTTGTTATGAATCTATTTTAATCCAGGAGTAATTTTTTTAAACGTAATTGAACTATTAAAAGTAACAATTGTAGGAAAATGATCTGATGCAGATAACATATGTTTTACTTTAAAATCTAAAACATTGTCGGCACCTGTTAAATTCAAACAAAATAAATCAATAATAGACTTCCCATTTTTATTAACAAAAGTGACATTTCCAGGGCAGTCACTTCTTGATCTACCATTAATGAAAATAAAACCATTGTTCTCCAATGAAAACAACAACCTCTCACCCCTTCCATCACTCTTCTCATCCAAACTGCACCTGTCCTCAGATATATTCCAATGACTTAAAATTATTTTATTAGACAGCTGGTTGAGGTTCCCACTCTACAATTGAAATCCCCACCCAAGTATATTAGTAAATCAAAGAATTTAAATAAAATCTGACCAATTTGAAAATCCAGTGTAGCCAAGAAACTATCAAAATCAGAATTAATTATAATTAATTATAATTAATTTATAATCGGTATATTAAACCGATTATAAATATGAAATTTCTACTCACTTTGACGAAAATACATTTTTCGTTTATGAATAAAATTTCAGTCGAATATTTATTTTTGCTGTATACCACTAAAAGTCCGCCTTTCGCTCTTCCTCTTGTAACTGTCTTCGTTGCCTTGCTGTAGATAACGTCAAAATCGGTGAAACAATTAGAAATGAAGAGGATAGATCATATATAGCCCACGTTTCCTTGACACAGACTATATCGCTATTGTATATTTTTTAGGAATGACGTAAACAATGTTCCGTAGGCCCTTTACGTTCAAGAATAAAATCCTTGGTTGAATTACATCTAGTTATGCGTCCTCATTGTTTTCCTTTTTATCTTTTAAGTTAGGTCTGAGAAATCTATCCATTCCACCTTTTTTTGATTCGAATTTTAAACTTTTCATTCTTTTTTCACTAACATTTTTAGAACCCGGTGTTCTATCTCTCTTTTTACTAGCTGAAGAGATGACTGAATCAGCAGGATTATCAGATTCCTCGTCGGAAGACGCATTATCAAGCGGAAGTACATCACGCTGAGGTGTATAGAGATATTTTAGAATCATATCTAGATCGTGTGTTTTGTTGTCCATAATAATATGATGTCCTTTAATCTGTACTGATTTTCCTTGATCTGTATGTTCTCTCCTTTTTTCACGAAGCACTTTGGAGAGGTCATTCGAAACACCAATGTTCATATTGCCGAAATTATTTATTTTACGAAATATGTTAGCTTTAATGTTTTTATTATTAAAATAGTTATAAGAATTGGCCTTGAACCCACAGTGTTACCGATTCTTTTGACAGACAATATATTGTCAACATCACAGCTAATTTCAGCATTGTCTAATATTTTTTTAACAGTTTCTGTTAAATTCTCATTTTTGGCCGGAGAATCATGCACTTTAAAAAAAGAATATTATTCATTCTATCTTTGATTAAAAAAAATACCGTGCTGCTTGGGACCTTGAATGTCTATCAATATCTTCTTAAGATCATCGTTGGAAGTCATTTTTGGGCTTTTTTAAAGCAAAAAGACTTTAAGTAAGGAAAATTAGGAAATCAGTATCGAAAAACAAACAGAATTACAGAGCGGTACGTAAACACGTCTGTTCAACTCGAAGGACTAATCGCAACCCATCTACATTCTCATTATATTGATACCAGTCACAAGGGGTAAAAGGCTGAAAGGTTGGAAATAACGTAATCAGGTTAAAATAAAATATTAAATTTACACTTCAGTGTACGTATTAAATTAATAACCATTTTATAATGTTAAAGTAACTAACTATCTAACTAACTAACTTTCTTACTTAGTTATTAACTAAATTAGTAAGTAAGTTAGCAAGTTATTTAGTAATTATGTCAAAATAACACCAAAAGTGTGTTAAAATAACTAATGAACACAATTGTGTTAAAGTAACTAACTAGCTAGCTAAACAACTAACTTACTAACTTAGTTACTAACTTACTAATTTAGTAACTTAGTAAGTTAGTTAGTAACTAACTTACTAACTTTTGGTTAAAAAACACCAAAATTGTGTTCAAATAATTAATTAATTAGATAACTAGCTAGCTAGCTAGGTAAACAACTAAATTAG